ACAACATTCTGTTTCAGATTTCGAAGACAACATGAACAACTACGAACGGTGATTGTTCGCGTACTGCGTCCGGTTCCACAGATGGCAACTCAACAAGATGAACTTGTTTCACCAGAAATTGAAAATCCACCTATATTGGATACCGCTGATGCGCAGGCTATTGAGGTTTGTGAAAGTGTCTATTCTTTTCTGTGAAGGTTGATACTGAGCACTTAAACGAGTCGTATGAAAAGCCCAGTGGTATTCAGGGTGCTTGTAGACTTTCTCTACAGTCAAGAACAAAGGCGGACATGAGATTATGGATCCCAGTCCGTATTCATCGTTGGAGAAAACGTGGCCAAATCTTTTCATCATGCCTTGTACTGTCTGAATGCGGCGCGACACATGCCTCATGCCTGCTAAGATCAGGAAAATAGGTTTCAGTTTCACACGTTGGACATATTTTCATCTTTCCCTGAATGGAGGAAAACAGCATTTACTGTTCAGACGAATTAGAACCAATAGAGGTTCGCATGATCGGTAAATTTAAAGTAAATAGATTTAGAAAATATTTATTTTAGACTTGTACTGAATGCATGATAAGTGCTTCAAAGAAGATATTTTACAGGTTAATCATGCCACGACCGTATTTACATCAGTTTATAGTCGTGTTTTCCTATGTTCCATGCATTTACTGGTTCCTGCATGTGACGATTCCTTCTAATCTTTGTCATAGTTTTACACATTTTTCCTCGAATTTCTTCCTCATCTTTCTGTGTTCATTTTAAGCGATGTTTTTACATGTCATTTGTCTTTTTCTGAAGAATTTATTAATTTTTGAAAAATAAAGTATTCCGATGGCTGAACATTCGGATAATTATTCCGTCATTGTGCAGTGTTACTAGTGGTTGTTATGCAGGCATCAATGTTATTAATGTTGTTATGTCGTTAATGGAACATAACCCCTTTTGAATGTTGCCTTCACTAAAGTATAATTCTGCTGTATTTATACTTTCAGCTGCAGTGTTAATATCGACCCCGGTATTGAGTACGGTTATGATACGATTAGTTATGAACCCTTTCCTTCTCTGGTAATTCGAAGGCTGTTTAAATTCTAATGT